TTTGGTTTTCTTAACAGCTTTTTGTCATTTTTTTGAGAGAGAGAGAGAGAATTTTAAGATTTATTTTTTAATTTTCGGTAGACACAACATGTTTATTTGTATGTGGTGCTGAGGATGACATTCAGATGTCTGTAAACTGCGTGGTTCACATAATGCTGACAAAGAATGGCAGATATGTTTTCAACCTAAAGCAGTACCACTTTAGTCACAGTAATAAATGTAAAATGTACAATTCACTTGGCCTGCCACCTCAAAATTACAGGGCTTGTGACTATAGTTTTGGTTTCATAATACTTATAATTTTGCTAAAGAGTAAGAATCTTAATATGGTTAATCTATACAACTTCAAACCTGCATAATTTATAATTACCCTAAGATGAGTAAGGCATGGTTACTAATTTCAAAGATGGTGATTAATAAAACCTCTCCTGAATCAAAATTTTTTCTTTTGAAAACAGGAATAATGATACTAAGGTTTTGATCAAATCTTCAAAAATTCTTGTCATAAATTACTTCTTAGAAAAAGTTAGATAATTGCAAACAATTGCTCATTTCCTTTCATGTAATTTGATTGCTCTCCAACAGGAAAAGATAGTTTTGCATTCGTCCATCTTATATTAAGGTCATTTTGTATATTTGTTATGATGCTAATAAGACAGATTGTTCACCCCCACACCTAACCCCTTCACACCTAACCCCACTCCTAAATACGAATCTAGTATACAGCTGCATGGGAATATTATATATTAAAAATACAAAATTACCTACAAAATACAAAAATACAAATTTTCTAAAGATTGGTCTAGCATAGTCAGAAATACATTAATAAGTATGATAGGAATAAAATAAAATTTATATAAATACTATTGGGATCTTCCAATTTAAATTGTTTCTATTAAAACAGACATGGGAAGGAAAGAACTAACATAGAAGAAAAAGAGATAGTAAGCTAAGTAAATTCAATCCCAGATGTGCAACTGCCCCCTGGTGACAGAATATTGCAATTCACTCTGAAAACAATGCACAATTATCTATGTTTGTGTATTATCAATGCACAAAGATCTATAATATGTTGGCAATAAAAATGTTCATGACTCTGGGTTTACAAAATTTACAACTGTCATTTTTTAAAATTTATTCACTCATTATTACTTCATATCTGGTGAGGAATACAATGGGAATGGTTTTATCCCTCATCAGAGTTTACTGGGAGAGAGATACAAATACACAAGATACACAAAGAAATGTAAATTACTGGATTGTGATAAATGCTAGAAAAGGATAGTCGAAGGCAGATGAGTGGGGTAAAGAGGAGAGAGTTATAAACACCACTATCTTAGTCCATTTCATGATGCTATGACAGAATGCTACAGACTGAGTAATTTACAAACAAGTTCATAACTGGTTCAGGGTAACAAGAGAAACCCCACTAAGGATTAGGTGGCTGGGCAAACAAGGGTTTCTTTTTGTTATCTGAACCCATTATCCTCTATCGCAGCAATCTGCTCATGTCTTCCACAGCATTTCTCATAATCATAGTAATTGGATATTTGCCCTTATACGATGTAAAGAAGTATACAAACTGAGACTTGATGAGAAGCAGCAAAGAGGCAATTTGGGGATGGGGGAGAGAGGATGCATCCCAGCAGAGGGTAAAGTATGTACAAAGTCTCAAAAACAGAAATTTCAGGTAAGTTCAAGCTCTAGATAAGAAGCCAGTGTGACCAGAGTAAGAGAAACAATGAGAAATGGGACAGAGGAAGAATAGTGGATGGAACAGGTAATGCAGAGACTTGTATGTTAGGGTAAGAAATATGGATTTGATCTAAGAGGAAGGGAAGTCACTCCTGGGTTTAATCAGGATACTGATATATCTGTGTCATGACAAATCACCCTGGCTTCTGGGCTCAAATGTAGAAGCAGGTTAGCAGCTTCAGGTATGCAATGACTGGCCAGCCCCAAATGACAACCATAGGGATGGAGTCAACAGTACACATTGGAGACATATCTTGGAGGCACAACTGACAAAAGGTGCTGATGGGCTGGACATAGCAAAAGCATAAAAGATGCTCCCAGTTTCAGGCTTGAGCAGCTGGGTGGTGCTCATCAATGAGATGAGAGATGCTGAAGAGGGCAGGCATGCAGGATCAAAATCTGTTTAAATATGTTGAGTTTAAAATACCTTTAGAGTTCCAAGAAGAGATGTAAAGTAGGGAGTTGGATCTGTAAGACCAAGACTCAGAGGGAGAAGATGTAAATTTAAGAGTTTATTGGGATTAAAGGTCATAGAATGATTGAGATCACCCAGGGAAAAGCTGTAGACTATGGATTTGGTCAGTCACATGTGGAGTTTGTTATTCATCTGTTGACTATAACTTATGACAAGGGCAATATTTAGAAGGTCTTCTATACTCAGCTTTAGGAATTAATGAAATAACTGCCCTTTGGTGATGTCATAATTGCCTCTTCTTTATAAAAAATAACGTTCCAGACGTCTTGATTTTGTTTCTTTTATCTTTATTCTAAAAAGGAGTCTTAGACCTATTTCTTGTGAATTTCAAGCTTACATATACATACCAAATTTCCAAACATACTAGAGTCCTTGATCTTTAAAGCTTCCTTCTAAGTCTCAATATGTGAATTCTATGACACCAGCAGAATTTTTAATCAACCCTCTAAAGAGTGTGTTGGCATTAAATTTTCTATATTTCTGGGGTATTGAAAGAAAATACTTTAGTGCTTATCTCTGTGATGTGATTATGGGAACTTTCAATTTCTTTTTTAATGTTTTTTTTAATTGCCACAATGAATCTGTAATAATACCTATGTTAACAATAACAGCTAATATTTATTTAGCACTTACTTGGATTGATTCATTTGATTTTACAGAAATATATGAGGTAGATATTAATATTATCTTCCATCTTACAGATGAGAACACAAGGTATAAAGAGGTTGGGTGCCTAACCAAAGGTCACACAGCTGATAAAACACAAGCCAGGGCTGCCCTCTACTCTTAACCATGCCAATAAGTAGCTTTCAAAAATATATGTATTTTTGACTATGATTCATAGCATGAATTCTATTTTAGATCATGACCCAGTACAAAAATACTCTGTAAAATACCAGAACAATATTTCATGAAGAAACACCCTTGCAAAGGATGGTGTGTTTTATAGGTTCTCTTCTTTTTCCTTTGAAATGCTAGTTGGAAGCCACTAAATTAATCTCATGACCCAATAATGGTCACTACTGGCAGTTTGAAATACACTATACTGCAATGCATAGTCACAAATGATGAAGGAAAAAGTATTTTCAAAAAATTAAAAAGATATCTAAATATTAAAGTTGCCAAACACTTGTTTTAATTTAGAAGAAATTAACATAAATCAGCTTGTGATAATTATCTATACAAATAAGGTATTTTACTTTATTTTGAAAAAGATTTAGCTTCATGTGAAAGAGATTGAAAGCCATTTAAATAAATGTTTAAAATAAATTTTCATCTTCGTGATTATTTTGTTAAGTAGTATACTTAACAATCTTTTGATAACCAATAAGAATAAATACCCTTCAGATAAACAGGCAAATAATTTGAGCACACAATTTATAAAACAACCTTTTCCTAGGCAATTCCATTCCCAGGAATTTATTGCAAGAAAATTACAAAACACATAGAAAAGAACTTCTTAGGATGCTCTCTTTAATGTTATTTATAATACTTAAAAATTGAAAGACACCTAAATTTCTAGAGAAGACAACAGAGTAAATAAATCATGGCATACTTACACAATAGAAAAATATGTTTAAAGAATGCTAGTCCTAAAATCTTTATATAATTCAAAACTCAAGTTGAGATTAAATTTCTCATAGAAGTAAATGCAAAGAAAGGCAGGCAGGGGTACAGATGCATATTCTAGCAAATAAAAACATCAGCTATTGCAGATTGAGGTATGTATCTGAGTGCCTGTCTATAACTACATCATCAGTGCTGCTTGCCATTATCCTTATTCAAGAGATTTCTGTGAACTTAAAAACATTCCTACTTTAATGCAATTTTTCTAAGCTCTTTCCTTATTAGTATCTACTCCTTAATTAACAGCATAGAATGTCAACATAATTGTTTAGCCTTCTTTCTGGTATGAAATTATGTTTAACTTCCCTCCCAAAGTTACTGATCTGAGAGTGTATTTCAGCACCATACCATTCACCAAATGAAAGTTTAATTAACACTGTTCTAAGTTATTTGTATTCAGATTTAAATTTTTTCCAGCTACATAATATTCAAAAGTTCCAATGCAAACAGCAGCATGGTTCACCCATTTCTGTCAAAGATCAAGAAATATTTCTAACATTCTGACTCAGTAAATCTGGAGTGGACCTGAGAATCTACATTTTTCCAAGGTAATGTGGGTGGCAACGGTCAAGAGAACGCTCTTTTGAGAATGACCATTCCAGACAGAGATGGTACTTGAGCAAAACTGATCCTGAGAATCAGTAGGCCTGAAGACCTGTAAAATGGCAGCTGCTGAAACATGGGCTTCATACATGTGGTTAAGGAATATGTCAGAAGTACAGAAATGAAAACTCTGTAAATAACACTTTTTATTGATAAGTTACCCTTCCTAGGAAAGTGAGCTGACACTTATCATAAATCAAAACTATTTAAATATGCTTCTGTGACATGATATTGAAAGATACCTAATAATGATATTATCTCCAACCTTTAAATTCCACTCCCTACTCTCAGCTTCACATCACAAAGATAAAAAGTAAGGTGATAAAGGCACAGTAGATTTCTGGCCATGTGGCTATGTAAATTCTTTCCAAAGAATAAAAAAACAGTATCACTCCATTCTCTATAATGAAAACACAATATTAGCACCTCCTAAATCTTAATATTTTATGTCATAAGCTACAGGTCAAAATTCCTCAAAGAAAAAAGTTGAACCCTATTCAATAGTTTCATTTATGAATTTAAAGAAATGTTCCATACTTACCAAAACCATCAATATCTAGATTATTTTCAACCACAACATCTAGAAGAGAGTCACCAACTTTTCCTTTGGTTGTTAATTTTACACCATCATTGTTTATAAAGTGGACTGTTATCTTATCTTCTGAGCTGGAAAAGAACAGTTGTTCAATGTTCTTAGTAATTTCAAAATACAACTTCAAATAATCATTTTAATCTGTAAATTCAAAGAAATAAAGCATGTGCACGTTATAGGAATACGCTCTTTTACAGTATTTTCTTTCCTTTCCAAAGTTTATTTTGGTCTAACAGGATGGCACACACCTTTAATGCCACTGACTCAGGAGGCTGTGTCAAGAGGATCGCAAATTTAAGGCCAGCCTCAGCAACTTAGCAAGACCCTACCTCAAAAAATAAAAAAGTCTGAAATGTAGTTCAACAGTAAAGTGCCCTGGTTCAATCCCCAGTACCACAAAAAAAAAAAAAAAAAAA